CCTCACTATCACCACAGCGCTTCCAAGCGGCGCTCCCGGGCGCCGGACCTCACCATCACGCCCTTTCCGTTTTTCCTAAGGTTTTCCTTTCCTGTCAATCCGTGGGATCCACTGGTGTTGCGCTCGTGTTAGCAAAGCTCGTGGCCATCTTTTGAGTGTCAGTTCATGCTCTGCAAAGAACATGAAGTCATGGCCCGGCCGTCCAATTCAGAGTCGACATTGGTGTGGCGAGGCCCGAATTCGTGAGTTCCCTACGAGACACCCGAATTCACGAGTTCCCTACGAGACACGGGCGCACCACTACAAGACGAGACACGGACGCAGCCTCGATAGCATTTTGTAGGCCCAGACTACAGGCTCGCTGTCCAAAAAGGTGGAGGGTCCGTGGGTTCCTACGAGGACAGTCCACGGAAGTACTTGTGCAGGCTGGACAGTCAATTCCACGGCATTTCTGACCAACGTCCAAGCCATCTGACAAAAGTCCAAGCCATTTTGCACGCCTACCATGCGCAGTAGTGGAGCGACGTCCCACTGTCCATTTTCGTACAGTGGACAGTAGTGGAGCGAGGCCCTCATCATTATCCGATCGGACCAGCCCTGAACAACGCACGTTAACATGCTTCCGGAATACCTGGGGCTGGTCAGCTGATATCTCAAGGCCGAACTTCCTTATCCACACAGTACGTTCTTCCCCTAAACACAACACCCAATTATCATGAATGTATGCGAGTCCTTCAGGACATCGGTTAAAAATTCGAACCATAGAGCACACTTCAGGTAGAAAAATGAGCACAATGTATGAGGCTTTACTCTCGTGGAGGACACAATGTGCAACAAAAACCAACTGCAAGCGTCACTAGTCCGCCGCAGCATCGCCCTTCTGCCTCGTCCATAGAGGGCCTCGCCACACCACTGCCGAAACGAAAAGAGAAGGAATGCAACTTCCACAGAAATTCGTGAGGCAAAAAATAAATAAATAAATAAAAATGAATAAAGAAATTCGTGAGGTCCATCCGTTGCTATTCATGGTAACGGATGCTTCTTCACTCGAACGCTTTTCGTTTCGCCAATGGTGTGGCGAAGCCGCATGCATAAATCGAGAAACAATCCAAAAAAAAAAAAAAAAAAGGAACGTCCATGAACAGCGTTTCTGGACGGAGGAAGTCGGTACGGCCACATGTTGTTCTGAGCGACCGATGCTCGTCCTGAGTGGCGAATGTCGATGAGCGACGAATGTTCACCCTGAACACCAACACCAACACCAACACCAATATATGAGCGGCATTCATGCAGTCATTATGGCAAGGTGTTGTCTCCAGGTAGACACTCCCTCACCACCGCCGATTAGGCCCGGGGATAGCATGCATGCCCTTGATTGTGTGAGGTACCTTTAGGAGTAGTGGTAGGTAGGTGGTGACAGGTGAAATTGAGAGAAGAATATAGCATAGTTAAAGTTGAGTATGCCAAACATCATATCACAGCTGCGTGTGCACACGCACGCACGCACGCAGCACACACACACACACACACACACACACACACACACACACACTCACACACACACACACACACACACACACACACAGCCCTTGGCCTCGGGCTGTCTGCACACACAGACAGAGCCCCTGAACTCGGGCTGTCTTCACACACACACACACCCTGATGAGTCGGTGAAAGTCCGACGAAACAGTTCGTTATGGTCACCCGTTTTCCCATGGCGACTGATGGAGTTCTATTTACCGAACACACACACACACACACACACACACACACACACACACACACACACACACACAGAAAAGAAGGGAAAGAGCACCGACCTGTGACAGGATTCCTTCGAAGTACGATGCATTTCTGGTTGACGATGACTTCCATGGCCCTCATGAAGACGGCGGTGATGTTGATCAGTCCAATGAAGATATAGAGAATACCGAGCAAGTATAGAACTATCCTCACGTCCTTGCGCCATGTGTTCTCTGCCGGCAGCAGGAGAAAGCTTGCGCATTCCGCTTGGTCCGCGTATTTCGGACTATAGATCTCCACCAAGTGCCCCGTTGAAGTACTCCACACGACGCATTTCCCGTGCTCTTCCCCGATCAGGCTGCAGATTTCGGTGACATTCACGCTGTTCGCCACATGTCCCACAGGAACAAGATCAGAAGCGGAGGAGGAAGAGGAGGGACTCGCCGACGACAAAGAGACGAGTGACAGAAGTCTGTTCACCGGCGGCATATCCGACGTTACATTGCCGGAATAGACGGAGGTAGGAGGCATAGTAGTGGCGGAGTACGGTTCCACCATCTCCATAGCCTGCCTCGAAAAATAAGAGTGGGAGAGAGAGAGCATCCTACGTAGTGAGACAGAGAATACACCCCTTACGTCACCAGCGCTCTCGAAGTCCCCACCTCTCTGACTCTGGCTATGGTCGTCCGTCCTGGCTATGGTTGCCGTCATCATCGACGACGATGCTGATGCCGCGTCTCCCCTCCCTCTTGCGACCACCTTCACTGCCTTACTTAACCCTTTGAGATCCACAAAAGGCTCTTCGGACCTCTTAATTGTCTGTGAAGCGAAGTCCACCACCTGACCAATATAGTTGACATCAACGCCATCATAATACTTGTCATCACCATCACCATCCACATCACCTTCAGCTCGTTTGCTCCTCTTCGGAGTCCTCTTTTTCTTCTGTTTCTTCTCCTGGACATCTCGGTTTACACGAAGAAAAGCTGACACAGAGGGGGAGCCGGAGTCGGGAGCCCGATCAAGAAGACCGAGACTGTTCGGCAAATTGGACTCATCTTGCGTGCGCTGTAGGCGCAATCGAGTGCCATCATCGACGACACGAACCTGGCCTGCGTTTTCGTCTTGGTTCTCGCAGCTGCTGCAAGTAGACAGGAGCAAGAAGAAAAAGACAACGATATGGAGAAAACTGGCTATGGCTGCCAACCGATCCGTCTCTCCCATTCCTCCTCCGCCTGCCTTTCTACTCCTTCCCAGAGTACGTCTGCATCTGCTGCTGCATCTGCTGCTGCTGCTGCTGCTGCTGCGTCTGACTTTTCTGTCCATCCCGTTGCCACTGGAAATCGGCGCTGAACTTCTCTTATTGGGACACAACTCGACGGGCATCTTCTCCGACTGATCCTTCTCTCCTTGCTGCTGCGTCTGCCATGTCATGGTCGGGCACGAGGAGGACCAAGACGTTGTCATCCTCAAGAACGGCAATCTCACCTCCGTCTGCCGTCTGGGGGCGGAAAAACGACCAGTCGTTGTCGCGCTGGTCGTCGATAATCGGTAACAGTCAATTGCAAAAAAAAAAAAAAAAAAAAAAACTCCACGGCGCGGAAAAAAGAAGAACGGCAGACGCGTAAGAAGAGAGGAACAATCAATACTGCCGTTCTAAACAATCACCTAATCAGCTTTTCCAAATTCAGATCGCTACAGTTAATCACACAATCACAACAAATACGTGTTATCAGATCCAGCCAAGTGTTCCATTTTCAATACCACCACCACAACTCCCAAAAAATTGTGAGGCAGGTCGCATATCATATAATATATCATATAATATATTAAAGCGGCGCGTCGTGCCATCACCAGCAAATTTCGGAGAGATGGTAAGATACGGAGTAAATTTTCCAGAGGAAAATTTTCAGAAATTCCTATTACCAGCAAACCTACAGAAAAAAATAAGGATGGAAAAAAGGAATAAGAAACCCTGCAGGCTGGATTGCTCGAGTGGTCCCAAGAGGACACTATTCTTTTGAAATGGGATGGTGTTAGCTTGTCAAATACTCAAGCAGCTGTTTGATCAAACAGACTTGTGCCCTCGTTTCCAAATCAGCAATCAGCAGCAATCAGCACAGCTAATCACACACAACACTATTAGTATAAGCAATCCACGTGTCATGTGTTATCAGTTGTGGCCTCGGTTTCCAAAGAGCAGCAATCAGCACAGCTAATCACACACGACGGTATTAGTATAAGCAATCCACGTGTCATGTGTTATCAGTTGTGGCCTCGGTTTCCAAAGTGCAGCAATCAGCACAGCTAATCACACACAACGGTATTAGTATAAGCAATCCACGTGTCATGTGTTATAGAGCAGCAATCAGCACAGCTAATCACACACAACGGTACTAGTATAAGCAATCCACGTGTCATGTGTTATCAGTTGTGGCCTCGGTTTCCAAAGAGCAGCAATCAGCACAGCTAATCACACACAACGGTATTAGTATAAGCAATCCACGTGTCATGTGTTATTAGTATAAGCAATCCACGTGTCATGTGTTATCTTCCGACATCGATCTTCGTAGCTAAGGATGTTATCTTCCAAGAAGACTGAGCTTCTTAGCAGCCTACCATGTATAGCTGCTATCATCATCACCATCACCGTTTTAAAAGCGTCTACGCAGCGAAGCCATCATCGCGCTTGTCACTATACTCTAGCACGCTGCAGCAATTAGCCTCAAGCTCAACGGATATCACTATCATCACAATACCAATCAAGCTGCAGTCCTTTATAAATCACCTTTTGTCTTTTTCTTTTTTTGAGAAACGAACCGAAAACCTTGACTAGGGGAAGTGGTATAAAGAGTAATACACCTTGTCCAAGCACCTAATCAAATCACCTTGTCCAAGCACCTAATGAACTCACCTTGTCCAATCACCTAATCAACTCACCTTGTCCAAGCACCTAATCAAAACAGCCTGTGCAGTCAACTATTCAAATCACCTTGTCCAATCACCTAATCAAACCACCTTGTCCAATCACCTGATCAAATCACCTATTTAAATCACCCTGTTAGCGCCATTCATGCTACATGCATAAACGCGACCCACCTGTCAGGTAATTATGCTATACTACATATGGCATTGATCAATCACCACAGCCGTCCAGCCATAGCCATCAACCCATCTAAAATCATGTGACTCTACCATAGCCACTACTGGCTGCATATTCCACCGACATGCCTATAAGCGTAGGCACCTGAACGACAACACGCTCTACAGCTATGGCGCGCACTGGCATAGCAATGCCAGCTCTGTTCTGATATTGCGACTATTCACTGCCATAGCAAGCCAGTTCCAGAAAAAAAAAAAAAAAAAAAAAAAAAAAAAAAAAAAAAACACGATCGGGCCGCCTCTAATTACTGCCTTGAGACGTTACGGGCCATGCCGCCGATCACCGATCACGTTCAGGTCAAGAAGCTGAAGGTAACAGGGTGATCCATCGTGGTCGATCATCAATTATCATAGCCATCAAGCTCTCGCACCGCACCAATCGTTGTTGACGTCAACATGCCGACGCTGCAGAGAACCCCACCTCCCTCCGCCTCTCTTTCCGGCGCTGAGCAGAAACACTCCCCTGGTCTTTCGCCCGCTTAGCGGACCAACCCCGC